TCTATTTTCAGTATTGATCCGTATTGATGGTTTCGGAACATCGCTCCATATGAATGACGAACCCCGCTAAAAAGAAGCGGCGATCCAAAATCGAAACTCTTTTGCGCAATGTTCCAGAATCAACGAAAACGAACTTCACTGTAGTTGGGCAAACGCTAAATGTCTTCTCTTTTTCTAGTTCACTATTTTCTCCTCTAAATTTGAGTCATAATTTTGTTTCCCCACCAAATGTGAGTGAGGTTCCTACGGGGTTGCTCCTCACTTCAAATGGGTGAGGTCAAAAAAAGATCACTTACCCTTACGCCTTGCAGTGCTATTTCGGTAGACACAATTCAAATAGGGCGAGCCACAAAGTCGATTAGCAGGCGTGGGAAAACTGTCTCGTTCATTTCAAGAAGCGAACCTGACGAGCACAAGTACCACGTGGTCCATGGATGACGCGTCGTTCACGTACGCTATGAATCACATCCGTGCTGCTCGGCAAAATGTTTCTTCTTTTGACCTACTGCAGATTATAGCGCGAACCTTCGCCACTACGAATCATTTTGGGGGGTTGAATGAAAGGTGGCAAAGGTTCGAATCTCGACTGAGCCCCGCCCACAACAGTAGCTGCAGCGGGCGCAATTTTTTTTATCACATTATTGCTTTACCACATTGCCCTACTGCCACTACTGGTTGCTCCGCCGCTGTGGCAACTGGCAACCGGGCGGCGGCGCCGTGCAATGAAAGAGGGAAGAGGAAAAAGGGCGGCGAAGCGGCGAGCGAGCGACCAGGGGCGGACCAGCGAGGGGAAGGGAGGGGGGGGGGGGCTTTCGCGCTCCCGAGATGCTGCGCGGGCACCCGCGCGAGGATCTTTGCGCCACGCAACACAATACGGTAATCGGCGCGTAAAAAAGCCACTTATTATCTCGTGGAAATGAGCCTTGACACAAATGTTGCCCGAGGGGTCCGGCGAGCAAGCGCGGGGCGTTCGGTCTCCCCCCCCCCCTGTCCCAACCCGCCACTCCCTTCCTCTTCCTTTCTTTCACGCAGTGCCGGGCCTAACCCAATAAGGTTTTTGCAAAACGTTAACAGGAGAAAAGAATAAATTGAAATGGTGTGCGGTTCGCGCGAACGGTAAAGACCGTGGCGTGAGCAGAGCAGGTCCTGCAGAAAGTGGCAGACGCCCGCTCGCTCTGCTCGCGATAGTAAAACATGCAAAACCAGAACCAGGCCGCTGACTGGCAGAGCGGAGCAAGGCGGAGCGGACACACGCGCGGGCCGACTCGACAAAGAGGAGCACACTCTCAGAGAGAGGGCGCCACGCTCTCCGTTCCCTTTTACTCTCTCTCTCTCTCTCTCCCTCGCTCCCTCCCTCTCTCCCTCCCTTCCTCCCTCTCTTTTACTCTTCCTCGCATGAGGCAGAGAGCGGAGGCGCGCGCCGAACAAGAGGCGTTTATTAGCCTTCCTTGCGTAACACGGGTGGTGGTGGTGATGGCTGCTTAGGGCAGGAGGCCTGTGTTTACCTCGCGAGGCCCTCGCTCGCTCCAGCGCCGCCACCACACCGCCACGCACAGCAGCCCCACGTGGTCCCCGGAACACACGTGTGTCACGCCAGCAGGGAGGCCCACGCTGGAGGAAGGCAAGTACACCCAGAAAAACGCACCTTTTACGTCACTCCACAAAGTGCTTTCGTTGTTCCGCAAATGAAATTTTGACTTTGGTGTAAAGCTTTATTCCGTTACTTCGAGGGAATTCCCTCGAGTTAACAGTAGTGAACTGTACACCTGCTAATAATTACTGTTAACTATTAATTACTGTTGATTTGAGGGAATTCCCTTAAATCAACAAAATTCAGCTTAACATTTTCTTTTTGAAAAATACGGAAGCAAATTTTGCCGTGAAGCAAAGGTACGTTTGTCTGAGAGTATGTCCAGCGTCCGGTCACTACACACGGACACATGCACGCGCGCACGCACTCACACCATATCAACGCTGGGAGTGACACGTTTCTGGCAACAGAAGCATTAGGCAGCACGGGGATAGAAAAGCGGCATGGAGGCTAAAAATACGAAGCCCTAAAAAGTTATTGAGGATTTGAGGACGCCGCAGAGCGTCCGCTCGCGTGGACGGGAGGCGCAGCACCGGTTCGGCCAGCTCCGCCGCGGTAATATGACGTGATGTGTTGACGGTGACGCTGGCGGGGCGCGGAGGGGCGCGGCGGGGCCGGCGGCCAATGTTACGCGGCGAAAGTGCCGGCGCTGTCGGGGGAGGGGGAAGAGGTGCCCCGAGATGCCGCCGAGAATGCCCCCCTCCCCTCCTCC